GCCTCTACCTTTACACTGTAAATAGGGAAGTGGTTAGAACAACATAAAGAAAGCCCATAGCTCTTAATAGCAAAGCTTTACTTAGAGAATTTTGCATAGGTTTTCTTTGGACACAACGCCATGGTTCTTCCACATCCTGGACATTTCTTACAAGGAAGTATTGCATGAACTATCACACATTTATCACCCTTGGCTCTTCTGAAGAAATGAAAATTCATCAGGGTCAGAGAGGGGATAAATGTCTCCTGTATGCATTTATATGCATTTTAATTACTTTTATTCATTCAAACAATATTTGAGCATAAAACCCACTGTGTGACACACAACAAAGATAGTGAAATGTCTAAGTGAGAGATCCTTCCCTTCGGAGGTTCTCCTCTAGGAGACATGTATATTAACTAACAAGGCCAGATGAGGTCGGTGGAGTCAATGTGCAGACACAAAAGGCAGCAGGAGCTTAAGCAGTGTGAGATGATGGCAAGCTGGGTGCAGGAGAGGAGGTTTCACTTTGAAAGTAGTGCTTGAGCTGATCTGGGGGGATGGGCAGAATATTGCTGCGCGAAGGCAATAGGGACAGCATGATATTTTCAAAGCCTGGGTGGCAAAGGATTATTTAATTGTATGACCTGTGTGCATACTGTACTTCCAGGCACTGTGAAAATGACTACAAATACACGATTTCCTTTGCTCCTAACATAATACAATTTTTTTGAGTTAGTGATGATGATCTCCAACTTAGAGATGAGAAACCTTTGGTTCAGAGAGAAAAGCAATGTGCCAAGTAGTGGACAGAGATTGAGACAGCAGCCTATCTGAACCCCTGAAATTTTGTGCTTAACCACTGCCATAGGCTGAATGTTTGTGGCCCTCTAGGATCCAAATCTTGAAATCCTCACCCCCAATGTGATGGTAATAGGTAGCAGGGCCTTTGGGAGGTGATCAGGTCACAGGGTAGGGCCCTCATGAATAGGATTAGTGCCTTTATGAAAGAGACCCTAGAGAGCAACCCCGTCCCTTCTGCCATGTGAGGACACAGCAAGAAGATGCCATCTATGAACCAGGAAGTGGGCCCTCACCAGACACAGAAGCTGCCAGAATCTTGATCTTGGACTTCCGCTCTCCAGAACTGTGAGTGATAAATTTCTGTTGTTTATAGGCCACCCAGTCCATGGTGTTCTGTTCTGGCAGTCAAAACAGATAAAGACAACTGCTGTGCTATGCTACCTCCCTTCAACACCCTGTGTTTCTCCCTTTGCTTTGCAATCTTGAGAGAGGTTTTCTTTGTAAAAGGTGGCCACGAAATTTCCAAATGTAGCTTACGTTTGCAGCCAAAAGTAAGGCCCTTGGGTTTTTAGCGCGGTGACCTTGATTTGCTGTAGCTCTGTAAAACCTCACCTTCATTCTGAGCGTGGATGTGTGTTGGACAGTTATTGCTTACTAACTGGTGCTAGTCGAGTTGAGGCATTCCTGTGAGAAATGCTAGGGAAGGCAGCAGAAGCCTTGCAACCTAGTGCCAACCACAGAGCAGTCAATGGCCTCCCTGATCCCTGCCCCATGCCCTGGGGACCTGATAAAGGACATTCTTTTCTTTTCTTCAAGACCCTTTTAAAGTTTGATTCTCTGGATTCTCTAATAATTTACTATTTTGTGTTGTGGCAACTTTGCACAATAAAAGGAGTGTCAGAGGTTGAAACCTCCTTTATGTGCACATGTGACATCGATTCCACACTGACTCTTGGCAGCTATACTCTTCCTCCTCAATTTTGGTCTCATCTTCCTAAAACATCAAGTCTTACTCCCAAATGTGATATCATTCCAAGCATTAGCTTTCCAACTAGTTCAGAGAACAATGAAGGAAATTACAGTACCCATAGCAAATACGCCTTAAATAATGAGGCTAACTTCCAACCTTTTAAAAATATCTTAGCCAGAAAAATGTCTTATGTTAGCCTATCTCAATTCTTACGATTCTTACCACAAAGAGGCAACTGAAGTTTCATCTCAACTATTCCAATTCTCTTCACCAGACCACTAAGTGGGGTGGGGCACGGTAAGAACGGGTACCTGAGTAGACTTTCCAGAAAGGAGAGCCGAGGATGCTGGGAGCCATCTTGAATTCTGGTGAAAACAAAGCATCTTTGGTATTCCATACTTCTTACACTAGGCATCTTTCTCTTTTCCTCAAATACAATTTTATGAATGAATATGATTAGACTGGAACTTGTTATGCTGTGAGCTAAGGAGGTTCACCCTGGTTCAACCCAGCGTGGGTCATTTTAGAAAACGTGCTTAGTCATCTAGCATGAAGAAGCTCTCAACCTGTATCCATGGGGAAGTGCTCATGACAATAATTTCTAGAACTACAGTTTTAAGGCAAGACACACATTAGACACTCTTAACATTTACTGACTAATGATAATATATATAGATTGCCTTATGCTCTTCATGGAATCGCCACAAATACTGTTTTATTGTTGTTTCTGTATAAGAATACAAGATTGGGAGGAAAGGGTCATTCATTATTAGTACTGTACCCATTGTATTGATGAGGACATTGAAAAACACAGAAGGTAAGAGGGAAGGAAAAGAGGGAGGTTACCTGGCTTTCCTGATTGCTGGCATACTGTTCTTCTCAGTTCTTACTAACTTACTACACCACGAATCTTTCCTTTCCTTTCCTCCATTTATCTAAGCATCTTTCAAGATTTGACTTCAATGTTATTTATACTTTGAAGACTCTTTTTTTTTTGAGATGGAGTCTCACTCTGTTGCCCAGACTGGAGTGTAGTGGCACCATCTTGGCTCACTGCAGCCTCCGCCTCCTGGGTTCAAGCAATTCTCCTGCCTCAGCCTCACAGGTAGCTGGGATTTACAGGCGTGTGCCACCACACCCGGCTAATTTTTTTGTATTTTCAGTAGAGATGGGGTTTCATTGTGTTGGCCAGGCTGGTCTCAAACTCCTGACCTCAAGTGATCTGCCTGCCTCGGCCTCCCAAAGTGCTGGGATTAGAGGTGTGGGACACCGCACCCCGCCTGAAGTCACTTTATTTGATACAAAGTGATAAGTAATAGTACATTCCACACCAAGTTTTTTTGTTTTGTTTTGTTTTGTTTTGTTTTTTTGAGACAGGGTCTGCTATGTTGCGCAGGCTGGAGTGCAGTGGCGCGATCTTGGCTTGTGGAACCTCTGCCTTCTGGGCGTGAGCAATCCTCCCATTGCAGCCTCTTGAGTAGCTGGGACTAAGGCACTCGCTACCATGCCCAGCTAATTTTTGTATTTTTTTCTAGACAGTGTTTTGCCATGTTGCCCAGGCTGACCTTGAATTCCTGAGTTCAAGTGATCTGCCCGCCTTGGCCTCAGAAAGTGCTAGGATTACAGGTGCGAGCCACCGTGCCCGGCCCATCATCTTTTACTTGCTTATTTCCTTGTGTGCCTCTCTTCTGTGGTAGATAATATGCTCTGTGAGGACAGGAACCATCGGTCCCAGTGTCTATAGAGTCACTCAGTAAATCCTTGTTTAAAGAGTGAATGAACCTCCATGGTCACCCCAACACCGAGCTCCTGCAGGAACTTTTACCATTCAATTAGCATTTAGAATATGTGAACTTGACCCCAAACAGATGAAAAGCGACACGTGCCTCATCTCCTTCCGGCCATAAATATTCCGACTAAAAGGGTTTCATATCTCTGATCCCCCACTACAGTTTATATGCTCAATGAGTATTAACTATGAGGATAATATTTTAATACTATTTAATAAGCCTCATTCTGGGACCTTATAATTCAATTCTGATGCAGGTTTTCAAATTATATATCGATAGTAAGCCTCTCTGATTATACCACACATATACACAAATGAAAGAAGGGATCTTGAGAAAGTTCTACCAATGATCACAAGACGTTTAAAGATGAAGCAAGTAAGTTTCATAATTATGGATAAAGAAGTTGCTTCCCACAGTAGTCAAAATGCTCACTTTCTTCAATATGACTTCCATGTGTGCACCGGACTGTCCTCTTACCCGCCACATTTCCCTGATCTGCACACAGAGCATATTCATAAAGGGATTCAGATTTGTGGGACTAACATTGGGATCAATGCAAGAAACATCAGTTTCCCCAGGTATATGTCAAAGCAGACAAGAGATCATAACTTTCTAGGACGTTTTATGATAGCAGCTGGTAGATCACAGATCTACCTAAAAGAAAATCTGATAAAGGAAAGCAAAACGTGGTTACAATTATTCATACTCCTACTGTGGGAGTTTCATAAATAAAATAATAAATATTTTTATATTGCAATAAGATCAAGTTAAGTGATTTGCTGACATTCTCTTGAGGCTTAAGGCTTGTCTTTAATGCGAAATACAAATCATATTTCTTGTGGACACATTTTAATAATAAACTTAAAAGCATATGAGACAAAAATAATGAAAACATTGCAATGAAAACCAGACAAACTATCTACCACTTCAAAAGGAACGAATGAAGACTGCTCGTCAACGCCCTGATGCAAACAACCTCAACACAAAATGCCACATATTGAACTCAGGTTTTATGGAAAGAGAGTCAGCAGGGATGAGAAAAAGTTACTACTTGAAAACAGGTAATTGACCATACGGAAATATACTCACCTAATGCATGCCTGTGTGCGTGTGTGTGTCTGCACACACACTCTCTCTCTCTCTCACACACACACAAACACACACACAACTTGTAGAACAGATTTGATTTTGGTTCAAGTTACTTCCCATCTCTCTGCAAAAATCTCACTGGCAAACAAAAAACAGATTTGGTCCCTGTTTGCTTTAGGAAGGGACAAAAAATTTGATGCCAAATCTGTCTGGTCTCTAAAATTCCAAGGCTGCCCCCAAGGGTAAGAAATTGGAACACTCACTGCCTCAGGAGCATTCAGGGGGAGTCCTCATTGTCTCTCATTTTGCTACTTGGGTCCAAAGGCCACGATATAAGCACAACCAAGGGTCCCTGTGGAGCAGCTCACCTCTGGGTCCTGTAATGACAGGTCGGTGATGCTGTGTGAACGCCGTTCCCAGGGAGGAGGTCTGCGAAGGGGAGGGGCTGCTGAAACCCGACTTCTCCGACTTCTTCAGTGTGGTTGGAGATGGCATTCCTGGCAAGAAGGATCAACTGGTAAGTACACTGTAATTCATGGAACAATGATTTGCGCAACCTAAAAGATAACATCTAAAGAATTAAAAACAAACAAAAAGAGGAATCCACCTGTGAAAGAAAAAGATGTTTTGAATTGCTTTGCATTTGTCACAGGAACAAAGAGGTGACAGAATAGCCCCCTGCTAAGTCGGTCTGCATTTGATTTCAATTTGTTCTACTTAATTGCAGTCCATTTTTGGGTTATTGATCTTCTCTAATAATACAGGGTTCAACTTTTGCAGTGTTTCCTAAAAGATGTTGTTTGTGTCTGTGACCTCTGGGACCCCCAAAAGGAGACCATCTATGCTTATGAAGACTTCACATGCAATCATTTCATCTTGTTGGTTATCTTGCTTTGAGACCAAATCACTTTCTCCATATTTTAAATAAGTTGGCTGTTTTAATATGAGAATACCCTCAACAGTGGCAACTTAGTTGTTCATTCAATGAACTCTTTAGAATAGAAAAAAAGAAAAGTAAAAAAATCTTAAATGCCCTACAATTGGGGACTGGTTAGATAAGTATGGTATAACCAATGTAAACAATATGGTAAAAGAGTAATGACGTGGCAAAACATTTATAATATAATGTTAATTGAAAAAGGCAATTACAAAATAGGATGTTATACTATGACACCATCGAAAAGGCTATTTCTATGCACAGAGAAAGAACTGGAAGGCAATAAGCACAAACTATAATGGCAGTTCTCTCTCTGTGTTGAATTTGGGTGATTTTCATTGCCTTCGTTTTGCTTACCTGTCTTTTCTATGATGAACATATATTGCTTTCATGTTAATACAATAAAAACTTTTTTTTTTTTTAAATACTTTTACTATTATGCCTAAGGTTTTCACAGCATTTGCAGCATAGAAAATACTTTGGGAAGAAAATAATGGAGAAACAGTTCCTTGTAATTACTGGATTTGTAATGTTCTCAGCAACCACGCTGACATACCCAACTGGAGGCATCTATCAGTTTGGTAGGGTGCCAATTAAAACAATGAAAATTTGGATATAAAAATAAGAGAAATGACTCCTAGTCTCCACATCAGGGGACAAATTTGGGCTCTCTTAAGGTTGTAGCACAAAACTGGTCTGCACTGATGTTAAAAGAACCAAAGTCCATTCTACTTATACGTGTTTACATGTGCTGTGCTCTGCCCATGACCAGAGAATTATTTGGGTGAACTGGAAAGGTAATAAAAATCATAATGATATTAACATGTAACTGTGACTGAGTACCATGTACTGTGTCAAGCACTTTATAGGTATAGATCTGCCCAGAAATTTAGTTAGTTTGGCCTGTATCTAAATATGTCCCTGTTATTTCTGATCACAGATTTCCTTAATGCAATTCTATAACATGACCTTTGAGTGTGACTCAAACTCTGTAAGGACAGAGTACTTGTCTGCTTTGTTCCCCTCTATGTCCAAGACATCCAAGGGTCTGAAACACCCAAACGATCTGAAAAGATATTTAAACTACTTGTGCAGGTCTCAGCTTTATCTGCAGTTTAATGAATACATACTTAAACATAGCAAAGCTTAGAGTTTTAGCCCCATGAAAGAAAAATTGCAAACTGGTAAACACTTTTGCATAGTCAGACATAAGTACAGTATAGAGTGGTATGTGATTTCATACTAATTTGACAAATTTGAATCAGATCCTTTCTAGATCAATATCCATGTGATTTGAATTAAAAATGAAGTCACTAAGTCAAGTGACTTTGTTATACTTGTTGCTTGCTGAATCAGTAACCAGTCATACCATGCCAAAGTTCTAATAATGTAGGATGCACTGAGATTTTGGGTGAACATTCACTGCAAGTAACCTAACCTAAGGTATCATCATGTAATTACATTAAGGAGGAGATTTCAAATAAAAAAATAATTAAAGAAATAAAAAGCTACCAAAATGTAAACAAATCTCCCAACTCATTTAAACCTTTTTGTGTAGACCAATTGTAGGCTGCCAACCATTCCACTGATTTAAATTTAGTCAAATGCCTGAACTATATGTCATAAAACAGAAGCAGAACAGATAACAACAACAACAACAAAATCAAAACTTTAAAGACTGCAGATTTTTTTTTTTTTTTTCCAGATAATGGAATCACTGATGAAATCCAGTATCCTAACTAATCTTACTGGCGATAGCAAATGGCTGGACTCAAGAAAAAGTTATGATTTCTTTGAAAAATTCATGTTTTCTAATTCATGCCATTCTAAATCTGCAGAAATGTTGACATGATTGAAATTCACTATTTATGCTTCTAAAAGGAATTATAAGTAAAATTCAGGTAATAACAAGTATCGAGAATGACCAAGCTGGTAAACAAGTTCAAAAATAGCAAAATTTACGTCTTCTTTGCAAGGGTTAAAGAAGAAAGAAATTCTGTCGGCATGCAGGAGGAACCAGCCAAACTATGTATAATCTTCTAAATTTATCACAGTCAAGTAATATGAACCCTAAGGCTGTCATGAATCTCAAAATTACTTTGTGTTTTCAATTTTTAAAGACTCGTATTGAGCACATTTCCTTATTATATACTTTAATATTTTCCCTACATGCATAATGTATGTTTTGGTTAATTTGCTTTGTATATTTAATTGACCAGATGAAATTCCAAAATGCTAGTAAACTGCTCTCTGTTAAAAGCTAGAGAACATTAATCTTGGCTTTTATTTTTGAAATCAAACTTGGTTCTGTACATTACTTTAAAAATAAACTCCTTTTTAAAATCTTTTGCCAAATATTTATGAACAACTGTTACAAAATTACTGTACGGATTAATGACTGATTGGCTTTCTTTTAATGAATTAAAACTTTAATTTCAATATATTTTCTAGAAGTACCAGATTTTTAAAAAGCGATTACGGATGAAGTAATCCTACCCCTTTTCTGGAGGAAATGAAATGTTACGTCAAAGTTCAAAGCAGAAAAATAAAGAATTTTGTAGAACGAGAAGCAGAAATCTAACATAATGTTCTCTTTCAGTGGGGCATTTCATCCTTTTGATGGGTATTAAAAAAACCCAATGACAGGAAACAGAATTGGAGGTACATTTCAAGAAGGCCTTTGACTTGTCACTGGTTTTCTAAACATCCAGAATTTTTGAATTTTGAATTTCCCTCTAGTTTGCCAGTTTTCTAAGCTACATGAGTCATTCCAAATTGTGTTCAGTAGACAAGGGCAAACATATATGGGATTCTAGTCATGTTGTAGCTTTCACCTCTGGAGGCACTTACAAGTGTAAAGTTCAACAAGAAAACCTTGAAAATACAGGTCAAATGCACTATTCACAAAGATTCCTTCAAATTCATCACTGGTATTTGTGGTAGTCAGGCTGGGCTGGTGGCTCATGCCTATAATCCCAGTACTGTGGGAGGCTGAGACAGGAGGATTGCTTCAGGTCAGGAGTTTGAGAGCAGCCTGGACAATATAGTGAGACCTTGTCTCTACAAAAAATGGATTTTTAAAAGTTAGCTGAGGCCAGGCACGGTGGCTCATGCCTGTAATCCCAGCACTTTGGGAGGCCAAGGTAGGCAGATCACATGGTCAAGAGATCGAGACCAGCCTGGCCAACATGGTGAAACCCGGTTTCTACTAAAAATACAAAAATTAGCTGGGCGTGGTGGCATGTGCCTGTAGTCCCAGCTACTCAGGAGGTAGAGGCAGGAGAATTGCTTGAACCTGGGAGGTGGAGGTTACAGTCAGCCCGGATCATGCCACTGCACTCCAGTCTGGTGACAGAGCAAAAAAAAAAAAAAAAAAAAAAAAGTTAGCTGAGTATGGTATATGCCTATAGTCCCAGCTACTCAGAAGGTTGAGGCAGGAGGATCACGTGAACCCGGGAGTTGATGAGCTATAACTATACCACTGTACTCCAGCCTGGGCAACAGAGAGAGAACTTATCTTGAAAAAAAAATTGTGGTACTCAGAATTCTAAGATGATTTCCTAGTTCCCAGCCTTGTATAATGATGCCTTACACAATCCTCTCCTCTTGCATGTGTGAGACACTTGTGAATATGAAAAATGTCATTCTTGTGAATAGGTTATATTATACCGCAAAGGTGATTATGTTGATTAGGTTATGTTATATTGCAAAAGACTTCTGCAGATATAATTAAGGTCCCCAATGAGGTGAGTTTGAGTGAAGGAAAAATATATTCTCCCTGGCGGGCCTGACCCAATCAGGGGATCCCTGTATAAAAGGAACTAGAAGTCAGAGAGATTCTTCTTCAGGCTTTGAAGAAGTCAGCTGCCATATTGTGAAAGGGCCTGTGACAGCCACATGGCAAGGAACTGCAGGGGCCTCTAGGAGCTGAGTAGGGCCCCTTGCTGACAGTTAGCTTTCAGAAAGCAGGGACCTTAGTCCCAAATCCACAAGCAACTGAA